TGCCTGTTGTAGGGTGGCCATCATCTATGTTGTAGAGTGGCCATCATGCCTGTTGTATGGTGGCCATCATGCCTATTGTAGGGTGGCCATCATGCCTGTTGTAGGATGGACATCATGCCTGTTGAGGATTGGCAATAATATTTTTTTGTAGGGTTGCCATCATGCCAGTTGTAGGGTGGCCATCATGCCTGTTGTAGGGTGGCCATCATGCCAGTTGTAGGGTGGCCATCATGCCTATTGTAGGGTGGCCATCATGTCTGTCATAGAGTGGCCATCATGCCTGTCTTAGGGTGGCCATCATGCCTGTTGTAAGATGGCCATCCTGCCTGTTGTAGGGGGGCCATCATGCCTGTTGTATGGTGGCCATCATGTCTGTTGTAGGGTGGCCATCATGCCTGTTGAGGATTGGCAATAATATTTTTTGTAGGGTTGCCATCATGCCAGTTGTAGGGTGGCCATCATCTATGTTGTAGGGTGGCCATCATGTTTGTTGTAGGGTGGCTTTCATGCCTGTTGTAGAGTGGCCATCATGTCTGTTGTAGAGTGGCCATCATGCCTGTTGTAAGATGGCCATCATGCCTGTTGTAGGGTGGCCATCATGCCTGTTGTAGGGTGGCCATCATCTATGTTGTAGGGTGGCCATCATGTTTGTTGTAGGGTGGCTTTCATGCCTGTTGTAGGGTGGCCATCATGTCTGTTGTAGAGTGGCCATCATGCCTGTTGTAAGATGGCCATCATGCCTGTTGTAGGGTGGCCATCATGCCTGTTGTAGGGTGGCCATCATCTATGTTGTAGGGTGGCCATCATGTTTGTTGTAGGGTGGCTTTCATGCCTGTTGTAGGGTGGCCATCATGTCTGTTGTAGAGTGGCCATCATGCCTGTTGTAAGATGGCCATCATGCCTGTTGTAGGGTGGCCATCATGCCTGTTGTAGGGTGGCCATCATCTATGTTGTAGAGTGGCCATCATGTTTGTTGTAGGGTGGCCATCATGTTTGTTGTAAGATGGCCATCATGCCTGTTGTAGGGTGGCTATCATGCCTGTTGTAGGGTGGCCATCATGTCTGTTGTAGGGTGGCCATCATGCCTGTTGTAAGATGGCCATCCTGCCTGTTGTAGGGTGGCAATCATGCCTGTTGTAGGGTGGCCATCATCTATGTTGTAGGGTGGCTATCATGCCTGTTGTAGGGTGGCTATCATGTCTGTTGTAGAGTGGCCATCATGCCTGTTGTAAGATGGCCATCCTGCCTGTTGTAGGGTGGCCATCATGTTTGTTGTAGGGTGGCCATCATCTATGTTGTAGGGTGGCCATCATGTCTGTTTCAGGGGGGCCATCATGCCTGTTGTAAGATGGCCCTCCTGCCTGTTGTAGGGTGGCCATCGTGTTTGTTGTAGGGTGGCCATCATGCCTGTTGTAGGGTGGCCATCATGCCTGTTGTATGGTGGCCATCATGCCTATTGTAGGATGGACATCATGCCTGTTGAGGATTGGCAATAATATTTTTTTGTAGGGTTGCCATCATGCCAGTTGTAGGGTGGCCATCATGCCTATTGTAGGGTGGCCATTATGTCTGTCATAGAGTGGCCATCATGCCTGTCTTAGGGTGGCCATCATGCCTGTTGTAGGGTGGCAATCATGCCTGTTGTAGGGTGGCCATCATGTCTGTTGTAGGATTGCCATCATGTCTGTTGTAGGGTGGCCATCATGCCTGTTCGTAGGGTGGCCATCATGCCTGTTGTAGGGTGGACATCATGTCTGTTGTGGAGTGGCAATAAAAAAAATTGTAGGGTGGCCATAATGTCTGTTGTAGAGTGGCCATCATGCCTGTTGTAGAGTGGTCATTATGTCTGTTGTAGAGTGGCCATCATGCCTGTTCTAGGGTGGCCATCGTTCCTGTTGTAGATTGGCCATAATGTGTTTTGTAGGGTGGCCATTATGCCTGTTGTAGATCTAGAGTGGACATAATGTTTTTGTAGGGTCGCCATCATGTCAGTTGTATAGGGTGGCACTCATGCCGGTTGTAGGGTGGTTATCATGTCGTTTGTAGAGTCTGAGTGGGGTGGTTGTTACACCTGTTGCAGCTAATTATTAAGCCAATTGTAAGATGGTGATCATGCCAGTTGTTTGTCAGTGGCCGGGAACCTAAGGCAGGACACGGCTGTATTGATGGTGTCATCAGTTAACATAGCAGGAGTCAATCATTATATGTCAGTCTGTAATAGCTGTATCATCAGTAGCCTGTGGCAGTGATCCTCAGTACCATACGTGTACACAACCATACTAAATATATGTCAGTCTGTAATAGCTGTATCATCAGCAGCCTGTGGCACTGATCCTCAGTACCATACGTATACACAACCATACTAAATATACGTCAGTCTGTAATAGCTGTATCGTCAGTAGCCTTTGGCACTGATCCTCAGTACCATACGTGTACACAACCATACTAACTATATGTCAGTCTGTAATAGCTGTATCATCAGTAGCCTGTGGCACTGATCCTCAGTACCATACGTATACACAACCATACTAAATATATGTCAGTCTGTAATAGCTGTATCGTCAGTAGCCTGTGGCACTGATCCTCAGTACCATACGTGTACACAACCATACTAAATATACTCAACATTAGCATATACATCGGGGTGAAAATTGTATACAGTGGAACGTGTAGATTGTCATATAAATCATTTGTAACTTTAATTTGAATGGACTCTGATTTATAATGAATATTGTTTTATGTTTTATTATCTTCCTTATCAACAATGTCTATACATATACAGTAGTTGGTGTTCTTCCTACAACACGTTAACTTGACAGGAATTTTGTTTTAAAGATTATACTACCTATTGCTGAGTTCATAAAGTAATGTGTTTTTCAACATTTTACATACTGAGTGTCTGAACAAGCTAGGTAAACAAGTACCATTGAAAACAGATTTTTAAATTAAAAAAAGTCCTTCCCTCCCCTTTGTGTTGTACCGGGGTAATAAGATACCTTTTAAAATCCCACAAATGTCTACAAACCTTGCATGCTTAATTACATTTCTGTCATTTGCTTTTGAAGTTTTTAACTTGGTATTGTTGGGAAATAACAAATTTGCAAAATTAGTTATTATCAACAAAATATGATAACTGAAAATCATACACATTGTAAACTCCAAACTAAGGTGGAATCAATCAAGCACACACATCTCTCTGTGAGCAGTGAATGTCACATTGTGTCGGAGTTACCAAGCGTGCCGAGCAGATGCCACTAGATAACTGTGTGTACGCCCTATCACTCAACAGTATATAAACTGTAATACAATTGTTACAAAGCCTCTTTGTTTCCTTCTTATCAATTCATACATTATGGCTGAGAATTAAAAATACCAGAACTCTGATTCCATGTCAAGGATACAAAATAAGACTGACATTCTTTCGTTTTGTTTATAAATGTGTTTATAGCAGGTACAATACCTGTATATGTTTATAAATGTGTTTATAGCAGGTACAATACCTGTATATGTTTATAAATGTGTTTATAGCAGGTGCAATACCTGTATTATATGCTGTTGATTTTTGAAAGACACCTGCATCATTTTATCTGTGTAGGTTCAATCAATTTGTACAGGTAAAATACCTGTCAACACTAGGGCCGTGTACCACCACTTAAAACTACACTGTAGTATTGTGATAATTAAATGTATTTTACCATTGTCTAATTTCAAAATAAACATTTGCACCTGGTTACACATGTATACATGTGATGAGTAATGATATCCTTGCTAAATTCTTTTTTATTTTTAGATTATGTTGATCTGACAGGTATTATTGTACCTAAGATTACACTCTTAGATATTATTACTTTTTAATTGTCATTTTTTTATATACACTGTATCTGTATTTGTTCAATTAATATTTTACAATTTTTTTTTTAAAATCAAGTAGTCGACTCCTTTTAATAAAACTTCCATAATAAATGTTTTGCTGCGAGGTCATTGAGTAATGTTTTTTTAAGTAGATATTATGACTTTCTTCTGATTTAAAGTCAAAATAACACTGAAATTTAATTTCAATGACAATTACTGGTTTCTCTGGAAATAGGTAATATTATTGTCAAAATAAATCCATAACATATTTTATCTATATATATACATGTACAGTGACTGCTTTATACACTAATCAGAATAATTATTTGAAAAAAACCTAAAATATATTTGTAAATTAGTTTGTGACCAAACACTTTTGGCAGTTGTCACACAGTATACTGGTATATACCTTCATGATCTTCATTAATCTTCATGGTACACTGACTACAGAAGGCATTCTAGGCCTGTTGACAGACAGATACCAGTAAATGGATTGACAGAAGTACATCTAAATTCAGAAGAAACCTGTATGAAATAAGTATCTGCCGAGCGGCACATTTAAAAAAAAAAAAACTTGAAATTTCATACACAGAGGATCATGACTATAAATTGTTAGTATTGAACATACCAGGACAACATTTAAATCTTTGTCGGGTTTTTTTCTACAGTATACATACTGCTTAATGCTTGTCAATGGAAATTGTACTGTAAGAAACATCTTTACAGTATATGAGTCATGACAGCAATGCCCAGCTGACATTGACTTTGTCTACTTGATTTTAAATGTTTGTGGTTGCATTAAATTATCATGCATACTACCACTGTAAACAAAGTATGAAGCAGCTTATAAAAGATAGCTGAAATGTTGGCAATTTTTCTGAGATCGTTGTGTACTATCCGGCTGAAGGGAGAATCTGACAGCCCCTGCCCCGAGACAGTTTGACAGATCTCTAATACACAAGTTCATGCCATGTTAGTCTGATCTGGCATTACGTAGTTTTATCTAAACACAAGCACCAGGAACTTCAAAATGGTAATACGAGACCAAAGTAGGCCAACTTGAGCCGGCAGCCACAGATTACCACAGTGCAAAGCTGAAAATGACATCCCTTATAATTTTTTACATGAAGGGAAAATGATCAACATACCGATTCCACACACGAAATACGATGTTAAAATCCACAAAATCCACACTATTAACGGTGTCTTCATCTTCCCCGCTAGTCAGGACGATCGTCCGCCACGATCCATTACACCATGTCAATATTGAATTGTTTATCACCTCCTATCTCTGATTAGATAGAAATTGTACTGAAATGTCAATGCTTCACCTTGTATTATCGGTTACTTGCGCCTTTTCGTCTAAGCTGTTGTAGTAAAAGAAACAAGTGGGTAACCAAAGTTCCGGATCAATCTATCAAGGGGACAGAGAAAGAACGAGTGTGTGTGTGTGTGTGTGTGTGTGCGTGTGTGTGTGTGGGGGGGGGGGGNGGGGGGGGGGGGGGGGGGGAGTATTAAAAAAGTATTAAAGAGTCAGCCTTGGAGATATCACGTGTTTTGGGATAATGAAAATAATCATAATAATTTATTTTATTTTGGCAAAATTTAAAGGGAAATGTCTTCCTTTCGTATAACATTGACGAAAATAAACATAAGTACAACAGAGATTTGCCAAAATGTTGCATCAGAATCATTGCATTGAACAAATATTGAACTAACAAAAGATGGCGTCCACTCCAATGCTAAAAATCCAGTGCGGTCGGCTCAAGCAGGGATTTTTTTCAAATTTTGCAACAACGCAGACATTTACATTTACGGCGATACTGCAAAGGGCCGTCGAAAAGCATCAACTTGCAGGTAGACTTGTGTGGCGTGGCTTCCACATAAGTTCGTTAAAAACAAGTTAAAAAGTTATTCACCCTGCAAGATGACTGTGGCGTGAGGTCTTGAATGCCTCCACAGTCAGCTGCTCGACGACCTCTGATGGTAGTCCATTCCATTCCATGATGGTTATTGGAAAGAAGCTGTATTTGTAGGTGTCGGTGTTGCATTGTATGTTGATATAGCCGTGGTTATGTTGTCTCCATCCACTTCCGGTATTACTACTGATATATGGTGGTATGATCAGTGCGTTGGTGTTGTGGATGTCTTTGCAGAGGTTGGTTAGTAGACTTTCCTTACGTCTCTGCTGTAGGGGTGGCCAGTGTAGCTCGTTCAACATCCCGGTTACACTACTCTAACGCGAGTAATCGCCGGTTGTAAATCGAGCTGCTCGCCGCTGGACTCTTTCTATTGACTCCTGTTGGTATTTCTTATGTGGATCCCAGACTGAAGCTCCATATTCAAGATTTGGTCGGATTAGGGTCAGGTAGGCCTTCTCTCTCACTTCCTGTTTGGATTTTCCAAGGTGGCGCCTCAGGAAGGATAGTAATCCGTTTGCCTTTGTGGTCATCTGGTTGATATGTTGCTTCCAGTTCAGGTTGTTGGCTATTTCCACTCCCAGGTATGGGTTGTGCTCTACTACTTGGAGTGTACTCCCATTGATGTTATAGTCGGCTCCTGTTGTTATGTTGGTTCGGGATCTCTTCATCCTCATCGTGTAACACTTCTTGGCGTTGAATTTCATCAACCACTTGTTCGACCAGCTGACCATTTTGGCTTAGTCCTCCTGTAGCTGGTGGGTGTCTGCGACGGAGTCAATGATCCTGAATAGGAGGCAATCATCTGCGAATAGCTAGACAATAGAGGTGATTCCTGCGCCGATATCGTTGACGTACAGAAGGAACATCAGGGGACACAGGAATGTCCCTTGGGGGACCCCTAACTCTACTGGGACTTCAGCTGACTATTCTCCATCAAGTACAACACTCTGTGATCTCTGGGTAAGCCAGTTTTGTATCCATCCATGGGTTTCCTGCTGTATCCCATAGTGGGACAACTTCTCCAATAGTCGTCTATGTGGCACGGTGTCGAACGCTTTAGAGAAATCCAGAATCATAACGTCGACCTGCTTCCTGTTGTCCATGGCTCTGGAGATCTCATCCACTGTTTGGAGTAGCTGCGTCTCACAAGAGTGACCTTTCCGGAAGCCGTGCTGATAGTTGACTAGGATGTTGTTTTGGTTCAGGTGGTTCATATGATGTGCTCGATCACCTTGCATATCACGCTGGTAAGAGACACTGGTCGGTAGTTGCTCGGGTCAGTCTTGCTTCCTTTCTTAAAGATCGTAGTGCTGAAATATGAGAGAAAGCGATGGTGAAATTTCTCTAGCTGCTTCCTTCAGCACTTGTAGGGATGCAATCAGGGCCGCTCGCTTTGCTCGTGTCCAGGTTCTTGAGAAGTTTTTCAATTCCTTCAGCTCTGAAGTGAATCCTGTCCATAGGTCCGTAGGGTGCTCCTTCCTCGCGTGGTACATCTCCCGGGGGTTCGCTGGTGAACACTGATTGGTACTGTCTATTCAGAGCTGATGCCTTCTGCTTGGGTGTTGATAAAAGTTCCCCATTCTCCTTCAGGGATGGTATCTTACTACTGTTGCTTCTCTTACTCCGGATGTACGAGTAAAACTTCTTGGTGTTTTCTGAGGCGCTGGTGTTCAGGAATTTGGTGGTGTATTCACTGTGGGCTCTCTACAACGCCCTTTTCACGGTCCTCTCCATCTCCTTAAATTTTGTCCAGTCCCCTGCCTTCTTCTTTTTCTTTGCCCGTATGTATCTTCTCTTCTTCTGGTGACATAGCCTCATAATCTCTGGCGTGATCCATGGTAAGTTCCATCTGGATGTTATCTTCTTCATGGGGATGTGTTTTGCCGTGGAGGTGTATTGAAAATTATGGTCTCCGCTCCCTGGCCAAATTGGAGCTCATTGAAGTACTCCTGCTCAGAACATGAAGTTATACCTACCCAAGAGTCTGAAAAATCTCTTTTTTAATCTAAAGCTGATTTTTTTCCGTTATAATGTTGCTGCTAAGTATAGTTGATCATTTTGACATCAAATATGTATAAACAAACTTTAAAGTCACTCTTGTCCAAGCTTTCGGGCTTAGCCCTTCGTCAGGGATTAAATGTCACCGGACCTCTATATCATTATTGCGTTCCCTATAGGAACATAATTATGTTCCTAGACAATTAACCAAATATGTACTTATTTACTAGAACCTGTGATGCCAGTACTCGGTTCTTTGTCAAAACTGTAGTCCAAAATGAGGTCAATGAGCACTTGACATAACATCACATTCCTCGTGTTACACTTTATAGTTGCAGTCCACCAATTGTTATTGCCTATACATTATGCTACAGATATATTCTTTGTATGGTTAAAATATTTTTAAATTCTGAAACCTTTAAAGCGTATTTCCAATGCTTTAAATGAAGTGACCAATATTTTTGAAAATTTGCCATTTATCTACCTGCATGTAAATCATTGCCAAATTCATCAGTTATTGTTCTTGTAGTAATATTTACACCATACGTAGTCACTTATAGATTCCCATTGAGGTTATGCACAAACTCATTTCCGATAGGTGAAGACTGTGACTTTTTAAGTAGATATTCATGCAAATCATTGTCCCCTCTCAGACTACTGACACGAATGAGACTATCAAGTCCTTTCTTGTGAACCTTTTGTTTGTCATCCCCCAAAGCATCACGGCAAAGCACACAACATCCCTCATGCAGACCACCAGGCACATGAGGAAACCGCAATCTTGGACGTGCTGACCATCCATTACATATATATAAAGTCATGAAAAGACACAAATGAAGACATCAGTATATGACAAACATGAATAGGTTATATTAGACACACTTTCTTTAGTGAAACCGTTGCAATCCTGTGTACATAGTACATAGTCCTGACACAGCAAAACATACTTTTACAAAAATTGGCTTATCGTGACGTTTTATAAATTTGTTACGAATATTGTCAACAAAAGTAGTACATATAATCATTAATCTTTAATAACAAAGAAACAAAACAAAAAAACCTGGACAATTCTTGCTGCAAAACCGCTGCTTCTTAATGAAATTCCACTTTTTCCATAAAATCCAGATTGTAAACAGATTATGGTTATACTGCATATTATCTGCAATGTTACATAATAATTACAACAGGTTTATTTTGCTTTTGATACACAATATAAATCTTCAATTAAATTAAATGATGTATTGCCATGCGTATTGAAAAGTGCATACAGGGCTTAGGAGCTACTCTGGAGAAAGTATTATTAGCTCACCTGGTCCGAAGGACCAAGGTGAGCTTATGCCATACCGTGGCGTCCGTCGTCCGTCCGTCCGTCCGTACGTCAACAATTTCTTTAAACGACTTCTTCTTCTTAACCACCGGTTGGAATTAAACTAAATTTGACTGAAAGCATCCCTAGGTGGTGGGGATTCAAAATTGTACAAATGGTGGGGCTGACTCTTCAGGGGGCTTAGGGGCGGGGCCAAAAGGGGGCAATTTGGCTATATTGCTACAAACGACTTCTTCTGTAGAACTGTGCACTGGATATCAATCATATTTGATCAAAAGCATTCCTGGGAGGCAGGGATTTAAAATTGTACAAATGGTGTGGCT